CAGCGCCCAGGCCCAGAGTTTAGGTCCCATGACTGACAAAAAAGCAAAACAACAAAAAACAACAAAAAACCCCAAAACTCACAACACAGCCATTAACCATTTGACCACTAAGTGGCACCAAAGGTTTAACCTTTCACTATAGAAAATAAATTAGAGGGCTGGGAAGGTGGCTCAGTGGTAGAGGGCTTGCCTTGTATGCGTGAGGCCCTGGGTTTGATTCCTTAGCACCACATAAGCAGGGGGAAAAAAGCCGGAAGTGGTGCTATGGCTCAAATGGTAGAGTGTTAGCCTTGAGCTGAAGAGCTGAGGGACAGCCCCCAGGCCCAGAGTTCAAGCCCCACAACTGACAAGAAAAAAGAAAGAAAATAAATAAATTAGAACCAATTAGGTACATTTCATATACTTCATATATTTTTTTTAACAAATTCTGTATTAATGAGAGCGCTATCATATATATCAAACTCAAAATATGGAAAAAAATAGAACCTCCCCCTAGGAACTTAACTTTCCTTGATGCTTTTTTTTTTTCAGGTGAAACACTATTCTAGCTGCACAGGTGTCAGGAAGGATAAACGTATATTCTTGGTTTATTCCACTTCTGGCACATTTAATAACCAGTTTATTTCTGAGTTTAAAATACCCTGTCATTTTGTATTCTTTACCTTATATATGGTGTATTCACGTGCACATCTGTGGGAGGGTGGGAGGAGGCCACAGAATCCAAGGGAAAGGGTGAAAAAGTACCGCAGTGGAGTGCACTGGACATTGATGAGACTGAACTATACAACTCATGGGTGGACATGGGAAGGAGGAATGGGAAAGAATGAGGAAACGGATGACAGTATGCAAAAGGAAATGTACTTAATGCCTGTCCTATATAAAGGTAAACTCACTGAATATCACCTATAAAACAATAGAATAAATTAGGAAAAAATACTTTGTCACTTGGTCAGAATCCTAATACACATCTTATGGGATGGATTAGAAAACCTTGGGGGGTTTCATGCCCTCCATGTCTAAAATGTGTTTTTTCTTTTGGGGTAATGTCTCTGTGAAATAGTCACTTGTGGAAGATTCTGCTCTTCTCCTCTGCTCTTGTTGGTTCTTGTACTAAGTTAAACAGAGCCATCTGATCTTGCTTCCTGTTCTTCCCTTGGACCTGAAGGACTTAGGCTACTAACTACCCATCCAAAATTGGGTCTCATGAGAGAAACAACAGAAAAGGACAATCGCCTAAGTTCTCAGAAGAAAGTAAGAGTAATTATGATTATTGTTTCTGTTACTGGAAGTTTGTCTCTGAGTGTGTGTGCTTTTGTGCGTCAGTCCTGGGGCTCAAACTCAGTACCTTGGTACTGACTCTGAGATTTTTTTTGCTCAAGGACAGTGCTGTGCTACCTTGAGCCACAGCTCTCTACTTCCAGTTTCCTGGTAGTTAATTGGATATAAGAATCTCACAGCCTTTCCTGCCCAGGCTGGCTTCAAACAGTGGTCCTCAGATTTCAGCTTCCAGAGTAGCTAGGATTACAGGCGTGAGCCACCATCCTGGCAGAAATTTTCCTTTTTAACCACTGCTTCTTCAAAAGCCAGTTGCTACTTTTTTTTCCCCCCACTGGCTTTTCCCAGTGACATGAATACAGGTTGGGTCCTGTTTCCTCCCGTGACTCACTTTTGGATTGAAGTCCCAGTTGGTTGAATCTGATTGATGGGAATCAGTTCCCACATTTATGCCTTAGTTTTGAAGAAAACCAGAGGAAGTGAGTTTTCTGATTTTCATTCTAAGGAAGTAGGACTAAGGCAGGGCGAAATTTTACAATTCTTTAAAAGGTGTCTTAATCTAATGAACACTCAGAAAATGTAACCAATCACTATACACTAGAGACCATGAGTGGAGTGGCTAGCATTACTTTATGGGTTGCATAACTATGTGTAATGGGCATTGTTGTCTTGATAATTTGGTGTCTATTTTTTCTAAGTAGAGGCTATAGTTGGTTATGAAATGACTCTCCCAAATCCATGTGTTAAAGGCTAGGTTCTCAGCCCATGGGGCTATCAGGAGGCGGTGGGATATTTAGAAGGTGGGGCTTAGAGGAAAGAAATTAGATTCTCTGAGGGTTTGCCCTTTGAAGGAGACATTGGGACTGTGGTCCCATCTCTCTTGGTTTTCCAGCAACCACAAGGGGAACAGATTTTCTCTGTCCTGTGCAACGGTGATAGTGAAGTATGTTGTCATATTCAAATTGAGGAGATTTAGTGAACCTGGACTGGAACTTCAAAATTACTGAGTGAAGCAGATGCTTCTGCCCTTTCCTTCCTTCCTTCCTCCCTCCCTCCCTCCCTCCCTCCTTCTCTCCCTCCCTCCCTCCCTCCCTTCCTTCCTTCCTTCCTTCCTTTCTTTCTTCCTTTCTTCCTTCCTTCCTTCTTTCCTTTATTTGTATTGGAGTTTGAACTCAGAGCCTTGTGTTTACTAAGCAGGTGCTTTTGCTACTTAAACCACACCCCTAGCCTTCTTTGCTTTAGTTATTATTTATTTATTTATTTTTGCTTTTTGCTCCAACTGGCCTGGACCATGGCCATCCTACTAATACTTCCCACATAGCATGGATGGCAGGCACATAGCACCATGCCCAGCTTTATATTGGCTGAAACAAATTCTTGAAAGCTTTTTGTCCAGGCTGCCCTGAAACCTCAATTCTCCTGATTTTAGCCTCCTGAGTAGCTTGAATAACAGATATGCACCACCACACTCATTTTTCAAATCTCAGGTCTTTATTATAGTGAATAAAAACAGACTAACAGTAGATGATCATATGAACTCCAAAGGACAATGGTTTAATCTCGACCTCTTGTTTTTCTCATCTTTCTTGAGGCTGGTCCACACTCTAACGCTGTGTTAAACTAGTTATTATAATGAGTCTTCTTGTCTTGGACTCCTGAAGTATTTTTTCCACTCTGTATACTGAAGTTCTGACTTGTTACTTATTTTACAGTATAAATACTTCCACCACACACAATATCAAGAAACCAATTATTAACAACTGCCTTAATTCTTGAATACTTTTTAAAGTTTTTTTTTTCCTGGTTCATTCTAAACTCTTGAATATTTTACTATCTGTCCTTGTGAGCCAGTGTAAACTACCCTATGTCACTTTTCTTTGGTTGTGGGTGTTAGATATTCATGTTGGATTTAGCCCTTGGCCGCTTTTATTTTCTTAACCTTGCTTTTCCTTTGCCAAAATTCATTCTTTTAAAACCCCTGCCTACCTCTGTAAGCTGTTATAAACCCTTTGAGAAATAAAAGGGATAAAAACACAGTTATTTGGCTGGTATAAATTAAGCCTTATTTTTTTGGCTTCTCCTGGGGCTTGAATCAAGGTCTGGGCATTGTCCCTGAGCCTTTTTGTGCTAGCACTGTACCACTTGAGCCACAGCACCACATCTGAGTAGTTTATTAGAGAGAAGAGTCCCACACACTTTTCTGCCTGGGATGGCTTCAAACTGTGATCCTCAGATCTCAGCCTCCTGAGTAGCTAGGATTATAGGCATAAGCCACCGGTGCCAGGCAAGCTTTCCAATTTTAATAAGTTGAAGTCTCCAGCTCTCCAAGTCTTCGCTACGCTGCTCAGGGTATGTCATCATGCCTTCAGCTTCCAAGGGGATTCTGAGCTAGAGTCAGGAAGTTCCTATCTCCAGGCCTCTCATTTTGGAGATTCCTCTACCTTCTGCCCACAGGGGTCCTCCTTTTCCATGGTTCCTCTTACAAGGACGTGTGCTCATTTTGGAGGTTGAGCTCTTGCATTACCACCAGCAGGTCTGCACCTGAGGCGGACTTGGAAGCAAAGCATGGAGGAGATGCCTCAGACCATGGCCTCTTTCAGTTTTGACTCTGCCCAGCCCAGCTGCTTGTTTGCTTTTGGAGTCCTTGAATGCGTGCTTTTCATATCCTGTCCAGAGTTTCTAGCGATGATCAGCGGCAGACAGACACTCTTAAACTATTATTTATTTTGAATTCAAAATAAAACAGCAAGGCTAGAAACCGCAGGCTTTGCAGGCTTAGATATATCCTCCTTCCTTCCCCTCGCCCTCTTCCCCCACTTCCAAGGGAATGTGACTGTTTCACAGGATTTTGAATTTGCATGCCTAGCCTGAGATCCTACTTCTACTTCTGTTGAATATATCTGTTGATTTAACTGTTCACTTGTAACCAAACTGGTGTGGAATGCTGGAGCTATAAACTATCTAAGGAGTCACTCATTTTCTTTTGACAGAGGAGGAAAATGAGGGCTCATAATTTGTTCTGACACCCAGGAAATGTAGGACATATGTAGAAACAGAACTCAGCTTTGTTTCTCAGGTATCTGTGACAGCTTCCTAAATGTCAGCTAATCTTTGTATATTCTCATCTTTGAATCTAGGAATAAGATCTATATCTATATATCATCTGTCAATCTGTATATCTGTATGTATGTATATTGTATGTGTGTATGTGTGTATGAGAGAGAGAGAGACAGAGACAGAGAGAGACAGAGAGAGAGAAAGAGAGATGAGGACTGAACCCAGGACGCTTGAACATTCCAAGCATGTGCTCTACCACTGAGCAGCCTAGGAGATTCTTTTTTTCTTTTTCTTTTGCCAGTCCTGGGGCTTGAACTCTGGGTCTGGGCACTGAACTTGAGCTTCTTTTGCTCAAGGCTAGCACCCTGCCACTTGAGCCACAGTGCCACTTCTGGCTTTTTCTGTTTAATATGGCACTGAGGAATCGAACCCAGGGCTTCCTGCATGCTAGGCAAGCACTCTACCACTAAGCCACATTCCCAGCCCCTGTGAGAATTTTTATGGTCTGTAGTTCTTAAAAATCAAGGACTCGCTCTCCTTCTAGTGTACTATTCTCTCCTTTCTCTGTGAAAGCTGCTTTAGACTCGGGATGACGGAATAAAAGGAATGTGCAGACGTCTGGAGGCCAGCCCCATCCTTGATATCTATTTCCCATTGACCACATCGGCTTCTAGTCCTAGAGAGTTTATTACAAATGAGGAAGGGATGTTGGAGGAAGATTCACTCATCATAGAACTTGGGCAGTTCATTCCCCAGGATTACGCGGTGGTCCACGCCAGCGGCTGTGATGGTAGCCAGGTAGATGACGCCCCCACTGGAGCCATCCCGGCCCATGGCCAGAGCGATAGCTACAGGAGAATTCAAGTCAAAGAGAAGAGGCGAGAATGGCTTAGCTTCAAAAATAGTTTCCTTTCCCTCCTGTCCATTCACCACGTTCCCCTCAATGCCCACCTTCCAGAGAGACATATTCAGTGGTGTGTTGATAAGCCAGCTTCAAAAAACAAAAACAAAAAAAAAAAATGAAGGGCAAGGAATGTGGCTTAGTGGTAGAGTGGGTTCAATTCTTTGCTACCACATAAACACAATAAATAAATAATTTTTTTGAGCCAGAAGTGGCACTGTGGCTCAAATAGAAGAGTGCTAGCCTTGAGCACAAAGAGGCTCAGGGACAGTGCCCAGGCCCTGAATTTAAGCCCCAGCCCTGGCCAAAAAAAAAAAAAAAAAAAGTATCTGCTGTGGCTTAGTGGTTGAGTGTTTGTGTGGGTTCAGTTCTTTGATAACACATAAACAAAAACAAAAAGAAAGAAAATAATATAAAGGATCCGCTTGTGTCCGTGGTATAAATGCTCTTACCAAGATTGTGTTCAAGTTACCAAGCAACTCCTTTAATATTTAACCATCAGGCTGGTTCAAACTAGCCCAGCACACCACTGGTTTTTAGGGTGGCCACACACCCCAACTGGGTTTACTCCAAACAGTCCTGATTCGTCTCATGGTCCCAAAGTCCCATCTAGTTTAGCATTTGTCCTGTCCCTCTTCACCTTTTAAAGTGTCCCAGGTTGGAAGTTAAATTAAAATGGCTATCTATGTATTCTTCTTCTTGTTCCTCATATTCCACTTTTCCTCATGTTCAAAAATCTTCCCCACCAGTGGATCACTCCTGTAATCCTAGCCACTCAGGAGGCTGAGATGTGAGGATTACGATTTGAAGCCAGCCCATTCAGGAAAGTCTGTGAGACACTTATCTCTAATAAACTACTCAGAAAAAGCTGGAAGTGGCACTGTGGCTCAAATGGTAGGGCACTAGCCTGGAGCAAAAAGAGCTCAGGAATAGCACCCAGGCCTCGAGTTCCAAGGTTCAGGAAAAAAAGGAAAAAAATCTTCCCCAGGCACCCTCCACCCCATCTGGTTAGTTACCATCTGTGGTGAAGCGCCTGCACTCTTCAGGAGACATGCCTGGTTTATAAGCTGCGTCCACGTAGCCATATAAATAGGTGCTACCTGAGCCACCAATGGCAAAGGGCTGCCGAGTGAGCATTCCTCCCAGAGTTCCGTACACCTGGGGGAAGAACCAGCAAGTCAGACCAACGCATCACTCAGCCCATCCTTCCCACTGAGATAGGCAGAGAGTCTCTGCTCTGTGCAGTGAAGGCACAGCATTTCCTGCCCCAACCATGAAAGCCGTGGCATCTTTCAGAGGAAGTGTTTATGGGCCTGATTGCTACAACACCATTTGGCTTTCATCTCCCAATAAAGAGCAGTGGGGAAACACTAAGAGAGGGAGGGGGAGAGAGAGAGAGGGAGAGAGAGCATGCGCCTTGGAGGGACTCACTTGGCCCCCTTCCCGATGGTCCCAGCCAGCTACCATGAGGTGTGCTGACAAGTCCTCCCGATATTTGTAGGTGATATTCCTAACCACATTTGCTGCTGCCAAAACAAGCGGAGGTTCTTCCAGTTCCAATCTGAAGGAAATGTTAGGTATAAGGGTCAGTATCATTTTCTTAGGCCCACCCTCTTGTGTCATTACAATAATCCCTGCCAAGTGATACTTGAATCTCCAACTGCAACAGTTCAAATTCCAGTTCCCCTCCCATGTGCTCAGTAGAGCTAGAGTCTCACATCTCCAATCGGGAAGAAGCTTTTAGTGTCCACCCTCTTTTCTTTAGCCCTACCCAGCCAATTCCCAATCATAATTTTCCTTTGTCTGCTGCGACTACCCTTATGGATAAAAGCAGATAAGCTTTACTTTGGTCCCATTGGCCTTGATTTCTCATATTGTAACTGCCTGATACTTTGCTCATCTGTATCATCAAGTTCTTCTCGATTAATTATATTAGGATGGTAGCTTTCACATTCTCTAAACAGCTCCCTGGGGAGGTGGGGGGGGGGATACTCGTATCTCCTCTTTACAGATGTATAAGCTGGTATCGGGAGATTTAGGTGTTCACAAATGCGTTAAGCAGCAATGGAGGTGTTGGAGCAAGATACAGTGCAAGGGTCACACTTGAGTAGAGGGTGGGGTCAGGACCTGGAGTTTCATACCCATGCAGCTCCAGCTGGTAGGCAGCCATGTCGGCCACAGCCTGGGCATCTGCTGCGGAGCCGGAGAGGGCACAGTAGATGCGCTGGTGTAGAGGAGACAGCTTGTCAAATACTCGGTTCACCACTGCTGCTCTGCGGGAAACCAGCCAATAACCATCAGTCTTAGAGTTGTAGGCACTTCTTTTTCTGTCAGTCATGGGATTTGAATTCAAGGCCTGGGCACTGTCCTTGAACTTTCTTTGCTTAAGGCTAGTGCTCTGCCACTTTGAGCTACAGCTCCACATCTGGTTTTCTAGTGGTTAACTAGAAATAAGAATCTCATGGCCTTTCCTGACCATGCTGGATTTGAACCTCCATCCTCAGCTCTCAGACTGCTGAATAGCTAGGATTACAGTTATGAGTCACCAATGTCCAGCTCATTGTAGGAATTTTTAAGGTTAGTTGGTCTAATGTTTCTCAACATTTGAGTTTATTTGACAAGAGAATAGTATAGATGTAATGGTTGGATTAAAGTAGGGAGCAAAAAGTAATCATTGCAGGTAAGTCAGTATTTTAATCAAAAGTAGACTTAATTTTTTATAGCATAACAAAAAACACTGGATTGAGAAAAATGTGTCTCTTACTAGTGTTTCTTTATGAAGCCTCTTGAGAGAGTTATGTCCTATGGAATAGAATGTAGGTAATGTTGATCTAGTCTTTTTTTTTTTGTCGGTTGTGGGGCTTGAACTCTGGGCACTGTCCCTCAGCTCTTCAGCTCAAGGCAAGCACTCTACCACTTGAACCACAGCACCACTTCTGTGCCCAGATGTGCCGTAGGCCAGTCACTATGAATGTGAGAACAAGTTTGGGTCTTGCACCTGCTGTATTCTGCAGGTGCAGAAGTGAGCTCTTTCAGTTTACTCAACAAAAGAAGCGGACAAAAGTTAGCATGGTCAGGAGTCAAGGCAGAAGGAATGCAGCAAGGGATACATAGATAGATTAAAATGAAAGTCTCACGTAAGCAATTTTTGGTCAAGAGGTAAATATTTCTGCAGTCCAGAGAAGAAATATGTACCAGGAGAAGATTGAACTGGGGAGTTGGTGCTTTTATTCCAAGTCAAGAAAAGAATTAAGGAACAGTAAAGGCAAGTAAACTGGTGGTTTATTGGAGATAAGGGTCTCACAGACTTTTCTGCCTGGGCTGGCTTTGAACCACAATCCTCAGATCTCAGTCTCCTGAGTAGCTAGGATTACAGGTGTGAGTCACTGGCATCTGGCTAATCTAGTCTTATATAACTCATTATGCGTGTGATGAAACTGGCTAGGGGAAGACAAGGTTCAAAAAAGTGGTCTCACTTCTGCCTGACAGAACCCATCTTTGAATCTCTAAACATATATGGAAGAAGAGCCCCCCCTCAACCTGCTTCTTGTGTCCCTTTGAGATGCTATTCTTTTATATTCATCTCTGTACAATACAGGGGCAGACTATAAAAGCATACAGATCTTCCTCCATGAATTTCAGAAATCCAAGCACCTACCAACATGACATTATAATAGCTTTTTGGAAAGGTCTGTTCCATTTTCTCAAAGCTCTGGTCTGTCTGCCAGATTTTTCATGAAAAAGTATGTATTTGGGGCCAGTAGCTTCCTTGCAAATGGTAGACAATGGAACTCACCCTGCAGACACCCGGGAGTCAGAACCCATCACCACACCTCCGTCAAATTCTACCGCCATGATGGTTGTCTGCAGAGACAGAGGATGACATATCAAAGCGGGGAGAGAGATTAAAGAAGGGAAAAGGCTCTTTGAAATCTGAGGTGACTGGTTCAAGTCCGTACAGTAATGTAGGCCAGAGCTAGAAACTTTTTCTCTCAATCTTTCCACTTCATTGCTTCATCCTGCATGAGGGATGATCCAGAATCCTAGCCCTACTGTCCCCACGTAGAAATCTTTCACTGTAAGGAGAACGGGGGGGGGGGGGGGGGTGGGGGTCCCTGGAGGCAGAAGTGCTCTGAGTGAGGCAGGGTGGACACTTGTGTGCACTAGTGAAATAGTTCCAACATGGCTGCCTCCTCCTGAGCGCTTTGTGTGCCCAGATGTGCCGTAGGCCAGTCACTATGAACGTGAGAACAAGTTTGGGTCTTGTACCTGCTGTATTCTGCAGGTGCAGAAGTGAGCTCTTTCAGTTTACTCAACAAAAGAAGCGGACAAAAGTTAGCATGGTCAGGAGTCAAGGCAGAAGGAATGCAGCAAGGGATACATAGATAGATTAAAATGAAAGTCTCACGTAAGCAATTTTTGGTCAAGAGGTAAATATTTCTGCAGTCCAGAGAAGAAATATGTACCAGGAGAAGATTGAACTGGGGAGTTGGTGCTTTTATTCCAAGTCAAGAAAAGAATTAAGGAACAGTAAAGGCAAATAAAGCGACACTTTCCCACTCTGGTTGGAGCCTTAAAGATACTTGGTTAAGTTGAATAACTTAACTCAGTTATTCAGTTCATTGAGTTATAGAGAAGAGACGACTTACCCCAATTCACACTGAATTAACAGCAGACCTGGGACGAAAGCCTGTCCCAGGTCTACCCCCTACTCCATTTCCCCCTACTTTCCCCTGCTTTCTGTTTTCTACTTTCCACTGCCTATTTGGAAGGGAAGGGAGAGTTCCCAATTTCTGAATGGTTCCAACTGCTACTTTTCTGGCTACCCCATGCCTCACTCTGACCCGCAGGGATCCCTCCCCCCTGCACACCCCCCCCCCACAGCGTGCTTTCTATATGTGGACTTACCATGAATGAATGAAAGACCCCATACTCCACCCTAAAGTCCCTTCCTCTATAAACAAGCCAACCTCCACGTCAAATGGCGGTGGTAGTCAGAGCAGAAGCCCGCCAGCCTTGGGGACTTCCACCACCCGCCCTGTGCGCCCAGCCTGGTTAAAGTTCCTCAGCAGTCATGACAGTCGTCAGGGGTTGAGTAGGGTTGCACCAGGACCAGGCCGGGGAGGGGGCGGGGGGAGAGTGTCTTCCTGGGCCTCTGGGGAATAACATCACTCACAACCACACCGACTCATGCAAAATCCCCGTTACGCGTGCCGGGGGTGCTAGTTATCCCGGGTTGCTTCAATCACGATGTGCAGGATGAGTTGGTCCTTGAATTTCTTTTCTCCCAAGTACTATCTCTACTTCTTCCGGGGCTCCCCTTCCCCCTCCGTTTGCATGCTCCCCGTTTGCATGGTCCCTAGCCCCTCACTTGTTTTCTGCCAGCCTCCACTGCCCAGAGCTGAGCGAAAGCGAAAGCGTCTCGGGGCCCGCTTCCCCGACGCGGCCCGCAGGACGCACAGCCGGCCTTCCCGGCAGCCTGGCCCGCCCCAGCCCTTCGCCCACCGCCGGACACCCGCGTCGGGAAGGGGAGCACACGCTGTCCTGGCGGCGGGCGAGCCTGGATGCTGCCCTAAGCTTCTATGAGTCTCGCTATTCGCTTCCCGGCACTTGCACGGTCCCCCCAGACCCCTTATCGCCCCACTTCCTCCACCTCTCTGCCGACCCTCAGATCCAGAGCCATTTACCCCTGTGTGGACTTCGCCGGTCGGGGCGAAGTCCCAGGCAGGTGCTCCAGCTCGCAGCATCCCAGCCTGGCAGCGCCGCGTTCGGGGCGGACTGGAGCCACCGCTTCCCACACGCGCGCTGCGCGCACCTGCGGCCCCGCCCCCTCGCCCGCCCGCCAGGGGGCGCCCGCGCCCGCCCCGCCCGGCCGCCCGCGCCGCTAACCCGGGCCGGGCGCGTCTGCCCGGAGACAGGTGACGCCAGAGCCAGATTTCACGCAAGGATCCGAAAAAGGCGAGAAGAGGAGGAGCCGAGAGGAAGGGTGGGCGTGGTGGAGAACGCGGGACCGGGGAATACCAGCCGGACTCTGAGCTGTGGGAGTCACGCCGGCTCCCCCACTGCATTCGAGGCGGGTCACCGTGGGCCCCATATATTCATTCGGGGTGGGTCGTGTGGCCCCCATATAGTGGGGGTCGATCCCGGTGGCCCCATATTCTGGGCGGGTCACTGTGGCCCCATATTCAGGGTGGGTCATTGTTGCCCCCATATTCTGGGCGGGCCATGATGCCCCATACTCTGGGGGATCACGGTGGCCCCCATGAAGTCGGGGTGGGTCACCGTGGCCCCACGCTCTGGGCGGGGCAGGGCGGGCCCCGTGCTCTGGGCGGGGCACCGAGGCAGGGAGGGGCCCCGGGTTACCGCGGCCGCTTTCAATTTCCTTTTCCCCTAAAAGGCTGCGCTTCCCAGCAGCGCCGCCGGGATCACCGGTTCCCGGGACTTTCCACCCCCCCCCCCCCACGAGCTTGTGATCCCGGCCTCGCTGGACACGGACAGCACCCCGAGGCCGCTGTCCAGCCGGAGCCCATGGCGGGCGCCGGCGTCTCCCGACCCTTCCCCGCATGGGTCGGGGCCGCGCTGCTGCTGCTCGCAGACTGGGCGCTGCTCCGGCCCGCGCTGCCCGGGATGTTCTCCCGGCTGATGCCCGCGGCGGGGCCGCTGCTCCAGATCTGGGCGGTGGGTCTGAGCCGCTGGGCCACGCTGTGGCTGGGGGTCCACGGGGTGCTCAGGGCGACGGCTCCCCGCGAGGGCGCAGACTCGGCGGCCCGCGGGTGGCTGGTCGCCGCGCAGCCCGTGGCGGCGGCGCTGGGCCTGGCGCTGCCGGGGCTTGCTTCGTTCCGAGAGCTGCGCTCGTGGGGAGCCCTCGGCGGCGCCCGGGCTCTGCACTGGGGCAGTCGCTCAGACGCCTTCCTTCTGGGCTACGCGGCCGCCCTGCCCGCGGTCGCCCTGTGGCACAAGCTGGGGAGTCTGTGGGCGCCCCCGGGAGTTGCCGCGCGCCGGCTTCTCGGCTGCCTGGGCTCAGAGATCCGCCGCGTCGCGTTGGTCCTGGCCCTGCTGGTCCTCTCCTGTCTTGGTAAGGGCGCAAGGGGTCCGGGTAGGGGCAGAGGGGACGGAGCGAGGGGCCCGTGGTGGCCTGGCTCAGCGAGGAAATGCGGAGCACAGGACGGCAGCCTGGCCTAGATCCTGAGACCACTTCAGAGTGGGATGGAGTCCGGGACTGGGAAGCTGTCGGGGATCGAGGCTGGTCCGGGCTGCTGGGACCAATCATGTCCATCACTGAGGGTCGGTTGTGTTTTGTTTTGTTTTTCCATCGGTCTTGGGGCTTGAACTCCGGGCTTGGGCGCTGTCCCTGAGCTCTTCAGCTCATAGGCGAGTGCTCCACCACTTGAGCCACACCACCACTTCAGAGAGGGTTTTTGACGCCAAGATCTCTGCCCATGCCCCATTGTGGCGGGCTTTCCGCACAGGTTTAAGACCATGGAGTCGGTGTATTCTTTCTGTCACTGCCTGCTAGGAAAATTGGCAAAGGAAGAGGGGGTAGGCAGGGACAGTTCAGACAAGAGCTGACTTGCTCAGGCAATGTGACAGACAGATGTGGTGTCTCTCTCTTCCCAGGGGAGATGGCCATTCCATTCTTCACTGGCCGCCTTACTGACTGGATTCAACAGGATAAGACCACCTCTGCCTTCACCCGAAACATAACTCTTATGTCCGTGCTCACCATAGCCAGGTCTGGGTGCTAAGAATGGGGAGCCCTAGGAAAGAGGGGATTGGACATTGGGACCTTCTTCCCCCCTCCCCCCGCAGCACACTCTGACCTTCCTCTCCGACTCTTTCTAGTGCGGTGCTGGAGTTCGTGGGTGATGGGATCTATAACAGAACCACGGGCCATGTGCACAGCCACTTGCAGGGAGAGGTCTTTCGAGCTGTCCTGCGCCAGGAGACTGAGTTTTTTGCGCAGAACCAAACAGGTTTTATTTGAAATATTTTCATTATATAGCTTTATAATTGCTTTCCTTCTCTCTCTCTCTCTCTCTCTCTCTCTCTCCCTCTCTCTCCCTCTCTCCCCCCCCCCTCTCTCAACTCAGGACCTGGACACTGACCCTTGGCTTTTTCATTCAAGGCTAATGCTCTACTACTTGAGCCACACCTCCACGTCTTGCATTTTAGTGAGTAATTGGAGAGATGCATTTCATGAACTGTGAAGCTCAGATCTTAGTCACCTGATTAGCTGTGATTATAGGCACACTGGTACTCAGCTCATACAGGCTCTTTTACTTACAACCTGTATCAATCTCTCTTTCCTTTTGTGTGTGTGTGTGTGTGTGTGTGTGTGTGCGCGCACACACACACACACACACACACATTGTAATTCCTTATTTCTTATTCTATCTCAGGAACAAAATATTGTCCCCATGGGGCTGGGAAGGTGGCTCAGTGGTAGAGCGCTTGCCTTACGTGCATGAGGCCCTGGGTTCGATTCCTCAGCACCACATAAGCAAAAATAAAAAAGCCAGAAGTGGCGCTGTGGCTCAAGTGGTAGAGTGCTAGCCTTGAGCTGAAGAGCTGAGGGACAGCTCCCAGGCCCTGAGTTCAGACCCCACGACCTGACCCCCCCCCAAAAAAAAATATTGTCCCCTTTTGCTTTCAGAGAAACCTAGAATTTTCATTGGGAATTTCCCATAAATCTAAGTCCCATAAGTCTTATTTGTGCTAATGACACATGGGAGTAGATTTGTCCTTAGATTAAAAACTTCAGAATTTCAAACCTGTACAATTGAGATTATGAAGTCCAGCTTCTTTGTTCACAGGAAGGCAACTGAGATCTAGACCCTCGATGCTGAAACTCGCACAGTTATATAGGGCCAGAGATAAACTTGGAGCTGGACCCCGCAACTTGATGTTCATCAGAGTGCTTATTATAGACTCCCAGATCTGTTCCTAGACTTTTTCCTATCTGCAATGTCAGCTTTATGACCTGCATTGGACATACAAATTCCTTAAGGAACAGAAAACCTCCTGAGAAATGAAAATGTGCATGTGTGTCAATGTCTTTATAATTAAAAATGAAGGTTTCGGCTAGGTTTTTCTTCTCTAAAACCCATTTTTCTGGCACTGAGGTTTCCATACCTCCCCCAAGCCCTTAAGACACCATGTTGACACCCTGCCCGGACCCCTGTCTCTTTATTGGTTCATCTTATCGCTCTGACTCTGTCTCATTCACTCAACTCTCAATCCTGGCAGGTGCCATCACATCTCGAGTAACAGATAATACGTCCAACGTGTGTGAGTCTCTGAGCGAGAAACTGAGTCTCCTGATGTGGTACCTGGTGCGAGGGCTGTGTCTCTTGGGGTTCATGCTCTGGGGGTCACTGTCCCTCACCATGGTCACCTTGGCCTTCCTGCCTGTGCTTATCCTTCTGCCTGCGAAGATGGGAGAACTGTACAAGGTATGTCCAAAGGAGTTGGGCCGCCCACAATGGATCTTCGTCTCCCAGATTTAGACTCAGTTCCTCTCTGATTGTTTTCAGCATGACTTTCCTCCACCCTCACTGGTTGCCATTACCATGGAGCTTCTAGTCCCTGTAATGTTCTTAGATTGCCTGTCGTTTGATCTCTATATTCTATCCAAACTTTAGTCCACATCCTAACCTTAAGCATATGATCACCAACTAATTTGGAGTCATTTTTCTCTTCCTCACTTCTCTTTAGTGACTGGTAATATAGCAAGCTCTTTTTTTTTTCTCTTGTCCACCTGCTCTTCTTGACTTTAATTTCAAACCTGAATTTGAGCGCTTCTTGTGGTTTGCTAGCTCCGGGTGACATCCTTTGTTTGTCTCCACAGTCAGTGGAAGTACAGAAGCGGAAAGCTCTGGCAGAGGCAAGCCAAGTAGCCATTGAGGCCCTATCAGCTATGCCTACAGTGCGGAGCTTTGCCAATGAGGAGGGAGAGGCCCAGAAGTTTAGGAATAAACTGGAAGAACTGAAGACACTCAGCCAGAAGGAGGCCCTGGGCCTTGTAGCCAACGTCTGGACCACCAGTGTGAGTATCAAGAGACGAATGCCTATTCCTTTGTCCCTAAGATGCCTTAATTCTGTTCCATTTCCCAACTCTGTGTTCCATTTCTCCTCCACTGGAGAATGGTCAGTTCCATGTTTTCTTCCTAGCAACCTGATGATCAGTTACTCTCAGTGTTCCTAGCCCACTTACCCTTTGTAGAGATGCTAAGCTTTTTCCTCTCACTGTTAGTACATGTGATCCCACAGCTATGTATTAGAGAGATGCTATGTCTCTCAGTCCTAGGAGACTCCCTTTGTCTCTCTGGGGAAGCTCAGAGAACCATAATATTTCTGTCAGTGTCTGCTTCAAGCTAGTACTGGGTGGAGGGTGTCTACAATGTAGTCAAAAAGAACTGAGCCAGCAATACCTTTTCTGAGATTGTTGTCTCATTAAAAAAAAGCAATGATAAAGTTTCTCTTACAGAGGCTATTAATATGGGTATTACCTAATAGCCTATTTGTGAAAGCCTTTGGTAAAGAGAAAAATGCTCCCTACACAGAGTGACAATGGTGATGGTGATGAAGATAAGATTCTGTGGCCTTCCAATATCATGTGAATTACACCTTGTGGGTCTTATGTTTCATTGGTTTATTCTGAGGCTTGAGCTTCTACTGATTTTATGGAGAAAGGGACAATGTAGCTGGGCACTGGTGGCTCGTGCCTGTAATCCTAGCTTCTTAAGAGGCTGAGAGCTGAGGATCAAAGTTGAAAGTCAGCCAGGGCAGAAAAGCCCAGGAAACTCTTATCTCCAATTAGCCACCAGAAAACCAGAGGTGGCTCAAAGTGGCAGAGCACTAGAGCCCAGGCCCTGAGTTCAAGCCTCACAGCCAACAACAAGAAGAAAAGGCAGGGGGAGTTTAAATCTCTGGGATAATCATGCTGCCTTGTGTCCTTCTGACTTTTCTACCATGATTCCTTTCACCTGTGGTCTCTCTACAGATCTCAGGGATGCTGCTGAAAGTGGGCATTCTGTACCTCGGCGGGAAGCTGGTGACAAGAGGGGCTCTAAGCAGTGGGAACCTTGTCACATTTGTTCTCTACCAGATCCAGTTCACCACAGCTGTGGAGGTAAGGTCCTTGCAATTTCACCCGGCAGTGTTGTCTCTAACCTCTTCCTTCACCACCTGTGCCCTTGGCTCTTGCATTATACATGCTGCCTAGCAGGTTAGGTCTCCCCACCTGACTCGCATTATTATATCACATTTCCAGGTACTGCTGAACTACTACCCCGAGGTCCAGAAGGCTGTGGGCTCCTCAGAAGAAGTATTTGAGTACCTGGACCGAACGCCTCGCTGCCTGCCCAGTGGTTTGTTGTCCCCCTTAAACATTCAGGGCCTTGTCCAGTTCCAAGATGTCTCCTTTGCTTATTCAAGCTGTCCGGACGCCCCAGTACTGCAGGTACAGCCTACCAGTCCCAATATCCCACCCATCTCCATCCTAAAGTTTCTTCCAGTTATTAGCCTGCTTAGTACCAAACTCTGGTCCTTCCTAACCCTTCAAATGCAATGAATAGCATGGTTTGTCTTAGAAGTCATCCCCAACCCCAATCATCCAAGAATTGCCATAGTGAAATCTGTTTGCAATCCTTCCTTCCTTCCTTTCCTTCTTTCTTTCCTTCCTTCCTTCCCTTCCTTCTTTCTCTTTTTCCTTCTCTTTCTCCGTCTCTTCCTCCTTCTCTTCCTCCCTTCCTTTCTTTCTTCCTTCCTTCCTCCCTCCCCTTCCCTACCTCCTTTCTTCTTTCCCTCTTTCCTTCCTTCCTTCCTTTCTTCCTTCTTCCCTCCCTCCCTCCCCTCCTCTCTCCCTCTTTCCTTCCTTCCCTCCTTCTTTTCTTTTGGCAGTCAGGTTTGAATTCTGGGCCTGGACACTGTCCCTGAGCTTTTGTGCTCAAGGCTAGCACTCTACCACTTGAGCCACAATTCTACTTCTGGCTTTTTGTTGGTTAATTGGAAATGAGTCTCCCAGACTTTCCTGCCTGGCTTCAAATCTTGATCCTCAGTTCTCAGCCTTCTAAGTAGCTAGGATGACAGGCAGGAGCCAGTGGTGCTTGGCTCCTTTTGCGACACCCCTCCCACGCTTCCTGGTAGAAAGCCTCCTGTGTATATGGTAGAGTTATGCTTCATTTTGCCTTTGTCTTTGCTACATCTTCTTTCCATCTCCTCCTTGGGAGGAATCATCCCAGAAATCTGCACAGGGGAAGTAGGAATAGCTGTATTTCCCCATTTGCCTCCATTTTCCTCTGAAAAAAAAAAAAAAGAGAAACAGTATAATGACACAATGATACTGTCAAGGTAAAGGGACTAATCACCTCTTATTGGGTGATTCTCTACCCCCCAGGGGCTGACGTTCACCCTGCGTCCTGGGGAGGTGACAGCGCTGGTGGGACCCAATGGGTCAGGGAAGAGCACCGTGGCTGCCCTGCTGCAGAACCTGTACCAGCCCACCCAGGGGCAGGTGCTGCTGGATGGAGAGCCCATCTCCCAGTATGAGCACCGCTACCTGCACAGACAAGTAAGCACGAAGGCGGCATGGAGAAGGGGAGGAGTATTGAATGAGAAGAACATTCTCCTTGAGCACACTGAAAGAGAATTGGGTGTGGGGGGAGGGCATTGGGTGGAGAGGGAGGTTTGGTTGATAGAAGACATACTTTCTGTTTTCAGTCTTCAATCTCGAGAGCACCATTCTCCTGAGGTCTTCATTCTGTGACACTCCATCATATTTCATCTCAGGTGGCTGCTGTGGGACAAGAACCACAACTGTTTGGCAGAAGCGTGCGAGAGAATATTGCTTATGGCCTGATCGAGAAACCACCTCTGGAGGAAATCATGGCGGCTGCACTGGAGTCTGGCGCCCATCATTTCATCTGTAGACTCCCTCAGGGTTACGACACAGGTACTTGGCCATCTCCCCTCTGGACAGCTTTACTGAGAACCCAATAATCTTGACTCTACTCCAGAGTTCTTCCTGCACCAAGGGCATCAATTTGAAAGTGTAGGATCTTGCTCCCATCGCTTCTGTATCTTCACATTGAAGAGCTGGACCAACCTTCCCAGAATTCCCCTCTCTCGTTGCATCTATCAGACTTTGATATGTGTGTGTGTGTGTGTGTGTGTGTGAGTGTGTGTGTGCACATGTAGCTATACGGCTCTCACCTGGGTGCTTCTCTCTGCAGAGGCAGGTGAGGATGGAAGCCAGCTGTCGGGAGGGCAGCGTCAGGCAGTGGCCATGGCCCGAGCACTGATCCGGAAGCCTTGTGTACTCATCCTGGATGATGCCACCAGTGCTCTGGATGCTGATAGCCGGTTACGGGTGAGAAAACCATCTCTTTCAGCAGTACAGAGGCTTGAACTCAGTACTTTGAGCTTGCTAGGAAGGTGCTTCACCTCCTGAACCATACCCTAGCTTTTTGCTTTAGTTATTTCTTTCAGATAGGACCTTGGAAACGATCCTCCTATGTAGGCCCTCCTTTACATTTTGCTTGGGTTGGCCTTGAAAGTTGATTCTCCTAATCTCCACTTCCTAAATAGCCAGGATTCCAGGTGTGTGCTACCATGCCCAGCAAGAGAGCCATCTTTTTAATGCATAGGCCTCACTGCCTCTTATCTCCTTTATCAAATTATATCAACATGATTAGAATTTTTAATTCCTATTAACTATCTATAGATACTGAATCTTTTCAGACCAAACATAAAGAAAATGCCACCCTAATAATTTTAACCAGGTTGTACTATGTGTTTGACCTGCTACTAAGCCCTTTACATGTCCTGTGTAACTCAATTTATTCATCATGAGGCCTGATGGGATGAGCATCACTATCCTTACTGTATGGATGACTGTATGGAGACTAAGAGACGTTCTATCACCTACTCAAGGTGACCCAAGTGTTGAGTAGTACACCCTGGGCCCAATTCAGATCTATATGACTTGAATGTGCATGCTTTTTATCACTAAACCACATTTTCTAAAGTTCTACTATAAAAATTTCCAGTCCACAGGTAGAGAGGAGAGACGTCAACACCCTTCATACTTCTTTTATAGGCTTCACCATAGACTCCAACAACTCTGTGTGTGTGTGTGTGTGTGTGTGTGTGTGTGTGTGTGAACTCAGGGCCTGAATGCTATTCCTTAGCTTTTTGCTCAAGGCTGGGCACACCTCCATTTTTGGTGATTAATTGGAGTACGTCTCTCTCAGATTTATCTGACTAGGATAGTTTTAAGCCTCAATCCTAAAATCTCAGCTTCCTGGGTAGCTAGGATTACAGGCTTGAACTACCAGCCCCTGGCTAGGACTACGATTTTTATCTCAGTTGTGCCACCCATTTTATCCCATTTGCACTAACTGTGTGTGTGTGTGTGTGTGTGTGTGTGTGTCTCCTCAGGTCCAGCAGCTCCTGTACACAAGCCCTACACGGCACTCTCGCTCGGTGCTTCTCATCACCCAGCATCTCAGCTTGGTGGAGCAGGCTGACCACATCCTCTTTCTGAAAGGAGGTGCCATCTGTGAGCAGGGCACCCACCAGCAGCTCATGGAGAAGAGGGGATTGTACTGGGCCATGGTGGAGGCTTCTGCAGCTGCTCCAGAGTGAAAGACTTTCTGAACTTGCACCCTACCTTTCCCTCCACTTTCTTCTGCTCTTTGTGATGGATTTGGGAGGGAAGGTCTTAGCAGACCTGCAGGGTAGGCAGCTGTGGGGAGGAGGAGTTGCCCAAATGCAGCTCCTTAGACGGTGCCTAACGTTTGCCACTAGTATTACTTCCTCTCCAAGTGCTCCTGCTCCCCCTGGTTTCCTGCCGGTACTTGGGCTTGATCTCAGGGCCATGATTTTTTTTTTTCCTCTCAAGGTTAGTGCTATATCACTTGAGTCACAGCTCCAGTTTGATTTTTGTTTTGTTTTGGTTTTTTTGCTTGTTAATTGGAAGAGTTTCATGCATTTTTCTTGCCTAGAATGATATCAAATTGGGATCCTCAGATCTCCAGTCCCAAAGTCACCCACTGGCGTCTTGACACCACAGACTTCCAAGAAAGACAAGCATAATTCCAAATGCCTTTATGTAACTGGTAGATGCTTCGGTGAAAATTTGGATGAAATGTTCAGAATATACAGAAAGGGAAGACCAGCTACTTTTTAGTATGACCAAAGGCCTTTGGCATATGGCCCCTACATAGGCTGTAGGTTCTTGATATTTATAATAAAAATAGTGTTTTGTTCTGTGGTGTCCCTGTCTCTGACACTCCCAAAGGGCTCGCTTTGTTTCGTGGTGAAAGATTCAGACTATGTTCCTCTTCAGGGCACCAACAGCTGCGCAGGGACCTTGCAGTGGAAGATGGAAGGTAGACAGGCCAACAGCCAGGCACACTTCTCCATCTTGCTTGCTCAGATCTTTTCTGAAGGGCTCACACGACTCCCTCGCTGTGGGCACCCGCCACCCCCCTACTCCCCCCATCCCTGCGAAAAACAAACCAACCCCAAAACACCCCCCCCCCCCCCAAAATAAAAACACCATACAAAACCCACAACCTTAGGGAAGTAGGTAGGATTATCTGGCCAATCTCTGCCATTGGGGGAGGAGCAAGGATGTGTGACGCAAACAGTTGCTGAGCAGAAGAGGCCAACACAGGTTGCAAAGAGGGGCGGGACTTAGCCGCGCGGTCGTTCAGCCCAGCCGGAGACCTGGTGGAGGAGCGCAGCGCCAGGGCACGTTCTCCCGGCTGGCTGCGGGTCGGGGTGACTGCGGGACCATCGGGTCCCTACCGAGGCCCGCACGGGAAGATTCTGAGATGCTATCCTGTCCTTGGCTCCTTTCTCCACACTTGGGGTTTATTCTTTTCCAGTTGCCCCAAAACCTGTCCCTTAAGACGCAGCCTCCATGGACCATTTTTATATAGGAACGATGCCCGTGGGACACCGCCCCTGTCCCCAGCACGCAGGGCTGCCTGGAGCTGCGTCCTGCCTCCTGCAGCCTTTCTGGTTCGGGTGATGCGACCCCCTGTCGCCTTGTCTTCCTGGAAGGCGCTGGCGCGCTCCCTGGACGATCCATCACCTACCCACCACGCACCGTCCCCAGGATGGCACCCCGCCTCATCGTCCCAGGATGGCACCCCCCCAAGCCTCATTATCCCCAGGATGGCACCGCCCCCCCACATTGTCCCCAAGATGGCACTCCCCCTCCCCCCCCCCCCGCCCCCGGGGCCTCTTCTCGGAAAGGGCCGGGGACATGGAAGACGCCCTGGTTCCCTCCCCTCGGTGCCGGGCTTTCGCTTTCACTTCCTGCTCGGAGAGCCCACGGATCCCGGGGGTGTGCGCTGAGCGGTCATGGCCCTGCTGGACGTGTGCGGAGCCCCCCGAGGGCAGGGGGCGGAAAGCAGGCATCGCTCGGACCTGGGACACTACAGCTTCTCAGTGCGCGCTCCCGAGCTCGCCCTCCCCCGGGGAACGCAGGTGAGGGGCGCCGGCCGGCGGAGGGCGGAGGGAGGGAGGCAGCCCGGCTGCCCTGCCCAAGTGGGGAACCGTGGTGGCAGAGGGGGGCTCTCCTTCAGTAGGGGAACCGCCTGGGGAGGAGACACGTGGGGCTGGCGGGGGGGGGGGGGGAGGGGGCTGAGAGGCAGTACAGACTTGGGCAGAGTCCGAGGTGAGGGTGGGTGCTTTTATCCCCATGGGGTATCTGTCAGGGGGCGCAGGAGCTACACGGTGTCTTGGAAGAGCTATGAACCTGCCCCAGCAATTGCCTGTCCTAGAGCAAGAGTCGCTGCCTGGCTCTCTTGTTCTCTTCTGCAGGATGAGGGAGGATATATTCGTAAAACATGTTTTGTGAGAATTAAAAGGAATTATGGATCGGAAAAACTCTTAAAATGATCCTTAAGACTTTTTCTCCCTTTCTCTCACCCCCCCCCCCTTTCTTTCTTCTTCCTCCTCTTCCACGTCCTTTTTTTCCCTTCTGGTTCTGGGGCTGAACTCAGGGCTTGGGTGCTGCCTGGGCCCTGTGTATCCATTAGCTTCTTTGCTCAAGGCTGGTGCTCTACTACTTGAGCCACAGCTCCACTTCCAGCTTTATGCTGCTTAATTGGAGATTTTAAAAAAAATCGTACAGACTTTCCTTACCCAGGGTAGGTTCAAAACTCAATTTTCACCTCTCAGCCTACTGAGTAACTAGGCCACTGGAGGCCAGCAAGACGTCCATTTCTGTTGTGGGGGGGGGGAATGGAAACGGTTGGTGCAGGTGCATTTTCCTTTCCTTTTCTCAAACCATTTCCTTCTGGAGATGATTAATTATTAATTAATTTAGTATTGATGATTAACTGTTCCATTTGTTAATGGGTAGAAAATCTGGGCATCTGCATACTCTTTTTTTTTTTTTTTTTGGTCGGTTGTGGGGCTTGAACTCTGGGTCTGGGTGCTGTCCCTCAGCTCTTCAGCTCAAGGTGAACGCTCTACCACTTGAGCTACAGTGCCACTTCTGGTTTTCTGGTGGTTTATTGGAGATAGGAGTCTCAACGGTCTCTTCTGCCTGGGCTGGCTTTGAACCGCGATCCTCAGATCTCAGCCTCCTGAGTAGCTAGGATTACAGGCGTGAGCCACCAGCGCCCGGCTCTGCATACTCTTTAAAACCCTTTAAAAACCTGCTCCTGGAGCAGGTGCTCCAGGAGCCTTCACTGTCCCTTCCTTCTCTTCTCTTTCCTTAGCCCACCGCATTCTTGAAGTCTCTGAGTGGGGATGGAGAAAGCCATGTTCAGATCGCAATGGCTCATGGGACAACCACACTGGCCTTCAAGTTCCAGCATGGAGTGATTGTAGCGGTGGACTCCCGGGCCTCGGCTGGGAGTTACATTGGTGAGTGTGTGTGTACCAGGAGGCAGAATCTGGGGCGCTAGGCCCTCCTCTCAGCAGAGGCACAACATCTACACCAAAGCCCAAGCAAGAGCACATGGGGGGAACCATGGGGCCCTTTCTTCTTGAACTGGTGGCTCACGCCTGTCATCCTAGCTACTCATGAAGCTGAGTTCTGAGGATCACAGTTCAAAGCCAGCTAAGGTAGGAAAGCCCACAAGATGCTTGTTTTCAATTGATTACCCAAAAGCCAGAAGTGGAGGTGTGAGTCAAGTGGTATAGTTAAAAAAAAAAAAAGCTAAGGGGCAGAGCTCAGGGCCTGAGTTCAAGTCCCAGTACTCACAACAACAACAACAAAACCCCTCTTCTTGCAGCCACCTTGCGGGTGAACAAGGTGATAGAGATTAACCCTTACTTGCTTGGCACCATGTCTGGCTGTGCGGCCGACTGTCAGTACTGGGAGCGCCTGTTGGCCAAGGAATGCAGGTAAGCCAGGTCACTTTTCTCATTTTTCAGACTCGGAGTTGTTGCTTGGATTGTCCTAGTCACGGCTCCTCTCCTTTGCCCCTTGTATCTTAGTGTTACCAAGGCATTTAACAGAATAGCCTTTAGAGGATCAGAAACCTTTTTCCAAATCTCAGTCTTGGCTCCTGCCTAGGAGTGAAATCATTTTTCCATTATAAAGCATGGGCACTATCAGCCCTGGTGGACAGGATTCTTTACTGGGTTTTCTCTGGGTGGTTTAGCTACTTGAAACCCCGAGTCTTTCCCTGTTCTTAGGCCCTACCCAAATAATTCCTTCCCAGTGTGTCTCCTGCAACATCCAATTTCTCCCTCCTCCTGTCTCCCCCCCCTTCCCCCAGGCTGTACTACCTGCGAAATGGCGAACGCATCTCGGTGTCAGCGGCTTCCAAATTGCTCTCCAATATGATGTGCCAATACCGGGGCATGGGTCTCTCCATGGGCAGCATGATCTGTGGCTGGGATAAGAAGGTGGGTTCTCCCCACTCCGCATGCCTGTCCAAGTGTGGATGAAAGATCTCTTCCCATCTCCCCTTCCCACTCCATCCCTACAAGATACGGTGCATAACAGAGCTGTGGGACTTTGTTCCAGTGTATCCACTGGCTACTTCTTGATCCAGATGTGGGTGCTAAGCGCATCCCTTTGGTTGAAGTAGATGACTTCAAGTATAGTTTTCCTCTGGTCATTTCTCTCTCTGCGTTTTAGGGCTCACACTTGAATCTCGATGCTACCAACACATCTCTTTCCAACTCAGAACCTTTCTTCTAGGGTCTTCTAACCTTCTAAGGTCTTCTAACCTTTCTAGGGTCCAGGACTCTATTATGTGGATGAAGATGGGACTCGGCTCTCAGGACGTATGTTTTCCACTGGTAGTGGGAACACTTATGCCTATGGGGTCTTGGACAGTGGCTATCGGCCGGATATGACTCCTGAAGAGGCCTATGACCTTGGACGAAGGGCTATTGTTCATGCCACCCACCGAGACAGCTATTCTGGAGGCATTGTCAATAGTAAGAGACCAAAGCTCCCACCACCAGGCCTGGGAGAAGGGAGGGAGCATTCAGACAAGGAGATTCTGTGGAGGCTGAGTGGCAGGGAGGAACTTTTCAGAGTCAGGAGGACATCTAAAGTCATTGTAGTAATGAGTTGGGATGTGTGTGTGTGTGTGTGTGTGTGTGTGTGTGCGTGCATGCGAGCACGTGCAGTTGCTTCTATCAGCATAAGATGGCGGTGGAGAAGGTGGCCAGATGCTCTGTTTTATTTTATTTGGGGGACTAGTCCTGAGGCTTGAACTTCAGGCCTTGTGGTCTCATGTGGCTTTTTCACTCAAAACTGGTTGGCACTCTATGATTTGAGCCACACCCCCACTTACAGCTTTTTGGTAGTTAACTGAAGATAAGAGTCTCACAGACTTTCCTTCACAGGCTGGCTTTGAATTGCAATCTTCAGATCTCAGCCTCCTGAGTAGCTAGGATTACAGACATATCCACCAGTGCCCAGCTGACTCTGTTTTTTGTTTGTTTGTTTGTTTTTTGCTCATCCCCCACAGTGTACCATATGAAGGAAGATGGCTGGGTGAAAGTGGAAAGTTCAGATGTCAGTGACTTGATGCACCAATATCTGGAGGCCAATGAGCGGTGGCAGTGAGGGCTGGGCGGAGCCTCCTCCAGGTGGATGGAGCCAACTCAGGGACCTGGGCCAACCCAGTCCCAGGACAAGAAGAGGCTCAACCCCAGACGTGTTGAGATCAGGCTCGGTGACCGGTGGGACCGGCTGAGTTCATCATTTGTGTCCTCTCAATTTCATTGAGCATCTTCTGCCCTCTAGGAGCTTACAGGGTGGGGGGATGCCTAAACACAATAAAGGAAAACGGTTATAAACACCTGTGTGCTGTGGCTGGAGGGGGGTTGTGGGCTTTCTTTCTTTCTTTCTCTTTTGGTGTGGGGGAGGGACAGGAAATCAAGAGTCTTTTCCTGGGAAGGGACTCAAATGCCCAAAGAAACAGGGTCTCACTAAAATATTTCTTCCTGGCATTCCACGTTCATCTCCCTAAGACTACAAGAAGACTGAGCAGCTTTCTCTTGGGACACTGGTTTGTAATTTCTTTTAGCCTCCCTAGGGTTTTTTCTTTTTTTCTTGTTTGGTCATGGGGCCTGAACTCTGGGCCTGGGTGCTGTCCCTCAGGTCTTCAGCTCAAGGCTAACACTCTACCACTTGAGCCATAGCACCACTTCCAGCTTTTTCTGCTTACGTGGTGCTGAGGAATCAAACCCAGGGTCTCAAGCACGCAAGGCAAGCACTCTACCACTGTGCCACCTTCCAGCCCATAGGGTCCTTTCTAAAAATATCCAATCTGGAGATCCCCAGGTGGTCTCTCATAGATAGTCTGGGTGACTCGGAGTAGAATATCCTAAAACACCTGCTTTGGACTTTGGAGAGTAGGGGAAAAAAAGTTCTTAGCTAATGTATCTGAAGTGACTGCAAGCTTCTTAGCATTTACTCTAAATAACACCTTTGAGATGTTGGCTACTGAACATAAAGATATACATAAGGGTTCAATTTCATGATGTGACAAATCTGATTTCAAGAGGACAAGTCATGAATAGGAAGAGGAAATACAAAGGACTCTGAAGTGGGGGGGGGAATATGAGGAAGAAGTAAGTTTCAGGTTAGAAAAAAGACACAGGAAAACAATGAAATTCTTGGCTCACTCAGCGCTACAGGAAAGAGCACGAAGGGAGGCACCTCTCAAGGAGAGTTAGTTGAGGCAGACTCTCAAAGGGTAAAAGCAGCAGAGGGGGAAGGAGCTCTCTCAGGAGTGAGAGATCATTTTAAGAACAAATAGAATAGGGAGTAATCCTTGACTTCACACACCCTTCCCTTTAATTACCTTAAACATTAACTGACTCATTGATAATCACACTAAAAATCTCTCATATCAATTCCAAATGATTGCTCTTTTGGGGATATATTTCTTTCTCTTCCTCCTCTCCCTCCCTCCCTCCCTCCTTCCCTCTCCTCCTCCTCCTCCTCCTCCTCCTCCTCCTCCTCCTCCTCCTCCTCCTCTCTTCTTTTGTAGTTTTAATGTTCAAGGTCATTTCTGGAAGTGATGCTATGGCCCAGACATACTGACATGCTGCTGTGTGTTGGTCAGTGCAGAGGATCAAACCCCTGACTTCACACGTGCTAGGCAAGCTATTGACCACAGAGTCAGATCACTTAAAGAGTCAATAAACCAATCTGCAGGTTGTTTGGATAGCTGTGAGTGAGGCAGAATGGGGAGAAACCTGATTGTTGTTCTAATCAGTAATAAAAAGTAGGCCAGCCAGTAATCCTAGCTACTCTCGCAATTCAGATCTGAGGATGGAGATTCAAAGCCAGCTGGGCAGGAAAGTTCCTACGACTTTCATCTCCAATTAATCAGCAAACACCCAGAAGTGGGGCTGGGGTTCAAGTGATAGAGCATCAACCTTGAGTGAAAAACCCCGGGGAAAGCGCCCGGGCCCTGAGCTCAAGCCCAGTACTGTCAAAAGAAAAAAAGGTTAGTACCGGGCATTTCCTTCACAAGCACAAACGTACTGAATTTTCACCAGATGTTTATATGCGAACCAAAGATTAGAGACCCCTAAATTCCAAATTTCGAAATGCAAATCCCTTGAAGCCTGTAAGAATGGCTAGAACCTCTAGCTGTTACGCTTTACAAAGTATCTCAAGTCCTAGAAACAGTTTTTTGCCGTTGCATGTAGCAAAGTAACCGCCACCCGGGAGACTTGCGATGGTGCGGGAGAGGCGAGGGATCCGCGGTCTGCAGGCCTGGGGCGGCCCCTGCTGGCCACCGCGCAGAATGCAGGCCTGGGCTGGGAAGCGAAAGCGAAAGCCCCGACGTGCCCGGCGCGGGGCTTCCCCGCGGACCCCATTGGGACCTGCATTGAGATCGCATTTCTGACTCAGCGCCCGACATCCATCGGAAAGCCTGCGGTGCTGCTGCACCGCCGCGGCGGGTGAGTTCTTGCGGTAAAAACCCGGAGCCCATCCCATCACGCGCCGCATGGGGATGTGTCTTTTGGATTCCAGGAAGTGGAAGGAGCGGGGCTGTAACCCCTTGGCTGCCCGGAGGTTGGCGGCGGTGGGCGGGGAGGGCGGGACTCGAGATGCCGTTACTCTTTACTTCTTGGGCGGGTGCAGGGTCTCCAGGATCCTAGGTAGGACACAGGCCGGATGCCAGATGCACTGGGAGATCTTTCTGTGTCGGACTGGAAACTAGAGTGGCGTCTCTGGCTGTGGCCGATCGAGAGGATCACCATCAGGATCCACCTTTTATCTGATTTTTCACCTTCTCCCCATAGATCCCCCGCGCCACGATGCTGCCTGACCCGAGGCCCTGGGCCTCCCTGCTGCTGGCCGACCTGGCCTTCCTTTGGCTCCTTCAGGGCACTGTCGGGGCGCTGCTCCCCCGAGGGCTTCCAGGACTATGGCTGGAGGGGATCCTGCGACTCGGAGGACTGTGGGGACTGCTCCGACTGGCAGGGCTGCTGGGGTGTGTGAGGACCTTGCTGCCCCTGCTGTGTCTGGAGACCCCCGTGTTTCTCTCTCTGCGGGCTCTGGTGGGAGGGGCCTTGAATGCTCCCCCAGTACGCGTGGCTGAGGCCTCTTGGAGCTGGCTGCTGTTGGGTTACGGGTCTGCGGGGCTCAGCTGGGCTCTGTGGGCTGTGCTGAGCAGTCCAGAAGGAGCCCAGGAGAGGGATCCAGGCCTGGAGGACAGCAAAGCCCTCATGTGGAGGCTGCTGAGGCTCGCCAGGCCAGACCTGCCCTACCTCCTGGCCGCCCTCTTCTTCCTCACTATGGCCGTGTTGGGTGAGTCGAGTGTCAGCAGGTGGTGGGGGGTGGGGGGTGGGGAAAGAGGCCTGGTACAAGCGCATTCCTCTACCTTTCATTTCTCTTCCAGGGGAGACATTAATCCCTCACTATTCTGGTCGTGTGATTGACATCCTTGGAGGTGATTTTGACCCTGATACCTTTGCCAGCGCCATCTTTTTCATGTGCTTATTTTCCATTGGGAGGTAGGTGAAGGGCAGCTGAGCCTTTTGCTAGACCCAAGTCTTTTGTTGTTGTTGTTGTCAGTTGTGGGGCCTGAACTCTGGGCCTGGGCGCTGTCCCTCAGCTCTTTAGCTCAAGGCTAGCGCTCTACCACTTGAGCCACAGAGCCACTTCCGGTTTTTGGTGGTTCATTGGAGATGAGTCTCAGAGACTTTCCGGCCCAGCCTGGCTTTGCATCGCTCTCCTCAGCCTCCTGAGTAGCTAGGATTACAGGTGTGAGCCACCGGCACCTGGCTTAGACCCAAGTCTTTTCAGGCACGCGCATTCCAAAGTTGGGTCTTGTGCAAAACACCAAATGGAAAACAAACAAAAAACCTAATACTCGAATACATTTACTCACCATTTTGGTCCATCCATCCATTTCTTCTGTCTTCCAATTTTGTCCAACACTCTAAAGGTTTATATTATTATTATAGATAAGTGGGTGTGTTAAATAGGATGTGTTTGAGTTGCCTCTTGATGTTTTGTCTTGGTAAAATTCCATCTCTCTTTTCTGCCTCCTCCCTCTTACACTTGAGTGTGTCTCTCTTACACTTGAGTGTCCCTCTTACACTTGAGTGTGTCTCTCTTGCACTTGAGTGTCTCTCTTGCACTTGCATGTGTCTCTCTTACACTTGAGTGTGTCTTTCTGACCTCCTGGCAAGTTGGGCCCACTGCTTCCTCTTGGTCCTTCCTTCCTCACTGATTTTTCTAATCTCTGAAGCTGCTAATTGGAGACCGATTCCCCTTTTGTTTCAGCATCTTTAATCTTTTCACGTTCCCTTACTATGCTTCTTTCTAGACATATTTCAGAATCTGTTCTTTTAACCATATAGGACAAGTAAGCAGACAAACCAACAAACCAATGCTTCTTGGTAGGGCTGAGACTGGGATGAAATGAGCTAGGTGCAAGGTACACAGAGTGAGCATTCTTAGGTACTCACCCACCCACCTGACTCTAATCCCCACTGAGCTTCTCATCTCCTCCTCCTCCCCCTTCTCCCTCTCCTCCTCCTCCTCCTTCTCCTTTTATGGTGCCACTCCTGGGGCTTGAACTCAGGGGCCTGGACTCTGTCCTTGAGTTTTGTGGCTCAAAGCTAGCATTCTACCACTTGAGCCAGTTCCACTTCTGGCTCCCCTCTGTCTGCCCCCCCACTCCCATAAGAGTCTCATAGACTTATCCCCCCCCCACTCCCCTGGGCTGGCTATGAACTGCGCAATCCTCAGATCTCAGCCTCCTGAGTAACTAGGATAATAAACACAAGCCACTGATGCCTGGTTCATCACTTTTTTTTGTCAGTCATGGGGCTTGAACTCAGGGCAGGGCACAGTCCCTGAGCTTTTCTGCTCAAGGCTTGCACTCTATTACTTTGAGCGACAGCGCCACTTCGAGTTTTCTGGTGGTTAAGTGGAGATAAGAGTCTTACAGACTTTCCTGCTCAGGCTGGCTTCAAACCATGATCCTCAGATCTCAGCGTCCTAAGTAGCTAGAATTATAGGCATGAGCCACTGGTGCCAGGCTCATCACTTATTTGTTTATTTATTTATTTATTTATTTTTTGGGTCTGGTCGTGAGGCCTGAACTCTGGGCCTCGGCGCTGTCCCTCAGCTCTTCAGCTCAAGGCTAGCACTCTACCACTTGAGCCACAGCGCCACTTCTGGCTTTTTTCATCTTATGTGGTGCTGAGGAATCGAACCCAGGGCCTCAGGCATGCAAGGCAAGCGCTCTACCACTGAGCCATCTTCCTAGCCCTATTTGTTTATTTTTGTCAGTTGTAGGGCTTGAACTCTGGGCCTGGGTGCT